TTTTTTTTTTTTTTTTTTTTTTTTTTTATAGTGGATCTGTTTTCCTAGAACAGAAAACAGGTCAGCAAAAAGTCTCTTGTTTTTCGAGAAAAGCTCACAGAAAACAGATAAGTCCCAAAACGTTGGCTGTCATTTACAGATCATGTTGGGTAGAACCGTAGAACTCGTTAAGGTCAAAATATCTGTTACTATCCTGGCCAATTTCAAACTTTAAGTGCAAAATTCACGAGTCCCAACCTTTTGGCTCTCAATCACAGGTGCCAACTTTTGTCTTCTTCTGCTCAGCCTCCAGTCACCGAGGTATCCACTGCTACTTGAGTGGTACGTACCCGCTACTTGAGTGTTTTACCCCCTACTTGAGTGTTTTACCTTACTTGAGTGTTTTACCCGCTACTTAGAGTAAAACACTCAAGTAGCGGGTACCCCTTACTTACCCGCTACTTGAGTGTTTTACCCGCTGCTCTAAGTGTCGCGGGTCTACCAGTGCAACTTGAGAGAGTGTTTTTCCCCCTCCAACCCTCAAAGTCACGGCCACAGGTAAGTACCCGCCCTGAGGGCCCAATGAACGAGCAAGTGCCCTTACAGATCACACACACACTCAGACCGACAAGCACTCAGACAGGCGCGCAGTCCAGCAAGCACGCACACACACAGACTTAGAAAACTCAGCAGAAAGCGCGAATCTCAGCAATTCCGGCAGCAAAACTCAGAAATCAGCTGTGTTCTCAGTCTCTGTTTTGACGGGTCATTACAGTCCTCTGCTTTATGGGAGAAATCCAGAAAACAGCTAACTGAGCTAAGTCCAGAAATGTCTCTGTTTTCTTAGGAAATGGATAAGTCCGAAAGACTTTGGCTCTCAGTTACATCTCAGACTGTGCCTCGACCTGGTCAATCTCATTTGAGTCAAAATTTCTCTACACTTTCTGAGGAAAGTTCAGAAAAGAAAAGAAAAAAAAAAAACAGATGAAGTAAAATGTCTCTGTCCTCTAATAAAACCGACAAGTCCCAAAACTTTTGCTCTCAATTGACCCGTTGTTGAGTCATCCTGCAAGCTGTAGGAAATAATCACAACAGTTACTTTGTCCTTCATAGTATGTCGTGGTTCTCGTGGACATGCCCCCCCTGGGAGGGACCCCTCCCCCCTCCCTCCTCATCTGCAAAGTTGCTCACATACATTCATCTGTTTTTTTTTTTTTTTTCTAACCTAAGTCTTGTTTTCTGTACCCCAGAAGCAGAAACTTCTGCCCACCGTAGTACCAAAAAAAAAAATAAAAAAAATAAAAAATAAAAAAAATCGGACGTTCACTTGGGTCATAGGGTGATGCACACGAGCCGAGGGAGTGTTGAGAAAATTAGAAGTGGATTCGAAGCACTGAGACTTGGATTTTTAATTTTCAAACCAATCTCGCTTCTCTCATGCAGACGTACTGGCAGTTGTAGTAGTACTGATAGCGAGGAGTTTTATCATTCATCATACCATGATGGGAGAAGCAGAAGGAGATGGCCACTTTTGTCCGATCTACGGTTGTTCTTTCGACGGTCCTGCAAGTGCGAATGTCTCTTCTCAACTGTGAGCATCTGCTCATGACACCAAAGGTTATATCAATGACATGTCGCATGTGTTTGTTTGGGATTCGCCGCACTTTTCACCAAAATTGAAATGCAGAAAAGAGAAAAGTTAGGCCGGTGAAACTCTCCATGTTTTCCCACAAGATTCGTTCTCAAAATTTTGCACATTTTGGTGAGTGGTGGGGCAACTGACCGAATGATGTGTGAAAGGGCCGTTCTCTTTTCGAGGCCCTTTCACACATCAATCCGATGGTTTGCGGGCACAGTAGTAGTGAGTTCCAAGTACCCTTGCTGCCCCTCTCCTTACTGCCCCTCTCCTTACTGCCCCTCTCCTTACTGCTAAGTTCTCCTGCTTATGCCGTTCTCTCTCTTCGTCTCCGACGTCTCGCACACAGTCTTTTCTTCCTTTTTTTTCCTTTCTTTTTCTTCACAGGCCTTGTTCCCACTTCTATATGATCGATATGTTATGCATTGGATGAAGTACATGTGATAGTGATACTAATCAGTCATTACTAATTAGTAATTACTAATTACTAATTAGTGAAGTAATTGCTCCCTTAACAGTGCCATCATGATAATTGAATGGTTGGTCTTGGTGCTTTTTTCATTTGTCTTCTTCTGGTGATATCACAGGCTGTTGAAGGATGCCATGGCTGTTCGCAGTGAGGCCTCATGTGCTGTTCAAGCACCTTCTCGCACTTCTCCTGATCTGAGAGGACAAAGAAATGGGGTAGTACGCATCTGCATGCTGACGCAGGCGAAAGCCACAGATGTGGAGGCTGCTGATGGGGAAGATGATGACGATGACAGACGTTCAACGAGAAAAACATCGGTCCGGTTCTGCAGCGAACCACTCGCCGGGCGAAAGGGAGAAAAACGATTCTGAATCTGAATCTGCGGCTGTGATCGTTTGCTCGTTCTTGTCGACGGACTGACGGACGGACGGAATGATCGCTGTAACAGTGCTGCTGTGCCGCCAAGTGGCAGCTCTGGCAGGGAGTTGCTCGTGAACTTCAAACTTCAAAGTCTGTTGGTTGCTGGAGCCTGGAGTTGCATCTAGGGAGGAGGAGGAGGAGGAGGAGGAGGAGGAGGAGGAGGAGGAGGAGGAGCTGGGTGGACACTGGACCGTGGAGGCGATAGATCTTCTTCATTCTTTGGATCCGGGAGCGGGAATCAGCGTGCACGTGCCGCTGTGCCAGCAATTGCCGAGGTCTTGTTCATGCGAAAAAAGGAGGGGGAGGGGAAGCCTGCTCTGCTGCCCCGTTGGGGAGAAGCTTCGGGGTAAGTTCCTGGAACATTATGGGTACATGCTCCCTTATCGTTGTGGCCCCCCACTGGTGCCATGCTCATGCTGAGAAAGCACGAACCTTACTTTTTTGAAGTTTTTTCTTTTTTCTTTTCTCTTTTTTCTGTTTTTTTTTTCTTTTGTTCTTTTCTTTTTCTCTTTTTTTTTTTTTTTTTTTTTTTTTTTTTTTTTTTTTTTTTTTTTTTTTTTTTTTT